CTTATACATGTACGTGAAAGAGTACATAAAGAGGGCCATAAATGGAATCTCATACCGCCATTATATATTATCCAGCCGTCCCAATGAAAGAGTTTTTCGACTGCCTTCTGGGTCTTAGTTATACCGGTATGACCGCCATAAAGAGTATCATGATATTCGGTCATGATCGTGCGCCGAACCTCGAAGGTGTCGGCGGTGGCAGGCACATAGATGCGACCATCTTCTATAACTAGACCCTCTGAAGTGAGTCGTCGGGCCGCCACGCTATTTATATCTTGCAGCGTTGGGTCCTTGGCATACGAAAAAAGGATGGCTTCCTGAAGAAGGGGAGGTAAGCCAAACTTACTTGGAAGCGTACGCCTTGTGAAGACCTCGCTGGCAGCTAACACCGGATGGGGTTGGCCGACCGCCACGACCGGCGTGCTAAGCTCTTCATCCCGCAAAAGGTGAGGCAGGCAACGTCACTCACGGGGAACTGGCTTAACGGGTCTGCAACGTCAGACCTACCAGGCCTGTAGACCCAATCAAAGTCAAACCGTTGAAGAAACTCAGACCAACGAGCCTTACCCCTGCTCAGGTTTTGTTGCGTTTGGAGAAATGTATTTGGACAGTGATCAGTTATGACAGTAAAATAAGTACCTTCAAGGTAGCCTGCACCTTCAAACCGCCAAACAATGAATCACAGCCAAGAGCTCATGTTCACTGGTTGAATAATTACGCTCAGCTAGCCGGAGAAAGCTTTTGGGACTCAAGGCAACATGCCGATTTTCTTGTAACAGAACCCCGCCGACTCCTAAAAGCAACGCATCGCTCACCACCGTCTATGGTTTAGAGGAGTCCGGCAATACCAAAACGGGTGCTCGACAAAGGAGGTCCAAGAAATGCCTCTTGCTGTCGGGTCGACCATTCAAACTTAAGGCTTATTTGCTCGCGTCAACTCGGATAACGGCCCAACAAGATTCGAGAAGCCTTGAATGAAACGCCAAACCAAGGAAGGACCTTACTTGGTGCACATCCTTCGGGACCGCCCAATCAGAGACCGCTCTGACCTTGTTGGGGTCTGGTTTGATGCCGTCAACTCCGACAATGTGGCCGAGGAACTTGGTCTCGCTTTGCACGAAAGAACTTTTGTCTTTACAAACATAGAACCTTTCGCGACGCAAGATTTCCAAGACCTTTCGCACATGAGCCTCATGCTCTTCTTCGGACTTACTGAAGATAAGAATATCATCAAGATATAGTACAACGAAGTCCCGAAGATAAGGCTCAAAGATGCCGTTCATGACAGATTGGAAGGTCGCGGGAGCACCAAGGGAAGGACTCTCCATTCGAAGTGTCCAATTAAAAGGCCGTCTGAAAGCCGTTTCCGGAACATCGGCTTCGGAGATTCGAATTTGCCAATATTCGGAGGTCAAATCCAAGCTGGTAAAGAACTTAGCACCCAAAACCGTATCCAACATGTCATCGATGCGGGGAAGAGGATAGCGATTTTAAACAGACATTTGATTCAACATTCTATAGTCCACGCACATGTTCTCAGACCTCGGCCGTTAGGCTTAGGGACAAAGAGAATCGGGGCGCCGTAAGGACTCGTGGAAGGTTGAATCAAACCCGTTTCCAAAGGAACCATTATCTGCTTTTTCGCTTCTTCCAATTCCAAAGGTGACAAACGATATAGAGAGCAAAACGAAGGTGTGTGGCCTGGCTCTAAAGGACTCGGAATCTCATGCGAACGGTTTCGCTCGGGTGGAAAACCTGGAGGCAGAGGGTCTTGAAACACATCGGTCCATGCACGAAATCCTTCAACATCCTATCAATCCAGAGTCTGGAGGTCTCACCCGGTAGCGGCGGGTCCTTGAGTAACTAGTTAAAGCCAAGAACATTGGCTTACCCTTGCGAATTTGGCGCTTCATCGGAAGTGCCAAAAGGAGCCGCACCAGTTCGGCCTCACCTTCTCCCTCCTCAGGATTTGCCAGCAAATCGCGAATAAGAGGGTTTTGATTGACAGTGATTTTACGGCGTCCTTTAAAGAGGACGGCACCACGAGTTCGGTATCTTAACTCTACGTTGAAAGAAGTCAGAATGTCATCACCCAAGACTAGATCGACTCCGTCCAACAAGTCAAGGACCAAACAATCAATACGTCGACAAAAAGCACTTGCGCCGTGCCATCACTTATGACGTCTGTGTTATTGCCTAACTTTGCGACCTAAGAAGCACTCTCTGCAACAGTAATACCACCAATATCGAGGAAACAAAGCAACAGCTAGCACCAGAGCCAAAGAGGAAGTTTGCCGTAATACCGGCCGCTCGCCCTGAAAAGAGCATCTTCGATCGAGACTTTGTGCCTATAGAGTTGCATTGGTAACATCATCCTCTGCTAGAAGATCAACGGGAACCGGAAGGCTAGCATAATACATAACTCGAAGCGCGTGCTTTGCAGTTGTTACTTCAGCAACGCCTTGTTTGTTATACCTGATTATAGGCGAGCCGCACGGGACGGTATACACAGAACGCCATCCTTTCAACCATTCCAAAGGAAGTTGACGAGGATGCGTTATTAGGATGCAAGCCGAAGTATCGTGCGGCGCCTTATCATAAACACTTTGGAAGCTGCTACAAAGACCCGCATCAGAATCGGCGTTAATCGACATTTGTTTATGCGCCAAATCAAGATCGGAAAAATGGTTGAGTTCGGGCCAATCATAAGAGTAAACACCAGCAACGGAAATGACACCTGATCATCCAAATGCCTTACAAACTCGTGCCTGTGACAATTGAACGTCATCCGAAATTAGGTCTATCTTCTCTCTAGCTTTAGTGTTCGCTACACTACCGATGCTCTCTATTTTATCAGCCTCAGAAAGAGAGCTTCAGAGTTTCCGACTGAGGGGTGGCGGCGGCCTTACAGTTCTTAGGGTTCTGCAAACAGCCCCTAGCGAAGTGGCCCTTCTTCTTACAGCAGAGGCACACTCCCGCCTTCATGAGCCGCGTCACCCCCTCCCGAGCGATTTTCAATCCCGACCCGTTCGCCTTGCCCATCCACTTCTTCATGTAGGGATGGTGGTGCTGCTTCTTCTTAGTCACAGCGCCTTGCACAAGATTGAAGGGGCGGTTAGTCTTGGGCTTGCTTTGCTTATCCTCCGCCGACCGACTAGGACCCGACTCCGACCCCGAACCCGGATTTGGGTCCTTCCTGGTCTGTTGCATCACTGCCCAATTGAGCGAGCAACACTTGAGAAACAGAGCAAAGCTAGTCCAACGGGACCCGTCCGGCATGCATGATGCACACCGGAAACGAACCTCGCTTTTCAAACCGTCCATGAACATCTAGATTTTGACTGCCTCTGAAAGACTCTCCTCACGGAGCTCACAACAAAGTTGCTCAAACGTCAGCGCATAATCCTCAACCGAAGAAGAGCCTTGACGAAGTCTTTTAAGCTTAGCTCAGGCCTCTGAAACGGGGTCAACGGATCCATACGCAGAGAGCAGCAAGTCCTTAAGCCAGGTCATGGTTGGTTAGAATTCGGGTATGAGGAGCTTGGCCGACTGGACCCGAGCATATACACTGTCACCCTCGCTTTCCCATCTAGATGAAGAGAGACGCAAGCAGCCCTCTCATCCCAGGAACCTTGGTGTATGCAGAGTACTCTTAAGTTCCATCATCGAGAACCAAGTCCTAATGTCCATTGCCCCGTCTGAAGACTTGCCATAAAAACGAGTCGGCTTCACTGAATCAGGCTTTTGAGTTCTAAACGAGACACCAAAAATCCGAAGTCCAGCAGATTCCAACCGAGCAAGTGCGGCTTCAAGACGTGCAATCTTAGACGTAGGGGTCTCAGGGTCCTCACGCTCCATATCAGTCTGGATATCGGCTTCATGCATGGCCGTCTCCCGTCTACCCCCGCGAACCGCACATGCGAGCCGCCCTCCCCAGCTTCGATGGCGCCGCCACGCAAGCGCGCCACAGTAACCTGCGCCCTTCGCCCGCTCACTAAAGCGGTGAGCAATTGCCTCCATACGAGACAAAGAGGCTGCGCTGACAGGCGGAAGAGAGGTGCCGCCGCCCATGATAGAGGG